AGGAAACAAGGTGGATCTATAGAACAGTTAAGCAAAATTCTTTTTTTTCTGTGCTTTTACTCTTCTGTCATAGCTTCTAGTTAATAGTCACTATGAGAGACTGGCCGGAGTTGTGGAGCAGCTGCATTTGGAACCTGTTAATGTGACATGCAAAATGTGGAAAGTGCAGTGAAGAGGGGACAGGCACATAATGGCTACACGAGTAAACGACAGTGGAATTGATGCACTTCAAGAATTAGTGGAACAACACTTTGCAAATTTAAATTCAAAAAGAGAATACCTCTCCCCCTCAGACTTCCCTGACATAAAGTAACACAGTAATCTACTTTGTATTTGATGTCCCTTTACAGTCTGAGCCTCTGAGACAGTCTAAATAGATGCTAGGCTTCAGTATATTCTCTGCGCAGTGTTTGTTCCTAATTTGTACTAAATAGTATATCAATGCCTGTTGAACCAGGTGTAAATGTAAGGAAATTGCTGGCTGCCTAGGCTTTCCTCCTTGCTCATGACTAAAGTGCCATAATAAAAAGGGAATGGAAGTTGAAATAAATACGAATTGCTGTTCTTCAACCACCTTAGTAGTTAAAAGAATGAATTGTTGAAAGCATGGTTAGAAGTCTGTCTTTCCTAAATAGTTGTTCTTTCTTGGCGCTTTGGTTTTCACTCGCATACTGAGTGGTGTTGCTGTGTTGTAATTCCATAAAAATGACTAAGGGCAGGATTTGATCTTCAGAGGTCTTTGTATTGGTCTCTGAACACCCTCGGGAGTTCCTCTAATACAAAAAGTATATCCAGATACTGAATATGGTCTGTAGCAAACAGACCTTTATTCCATTGAAGTACTTCAGTGCTAAAGAACATTTTTCTCAGAAATACCTATACAATTACATAAATAGAAGAAAAATGAAATTGTTTTTTTCTTTTGCGTTTCATCTTTCACTTCATTAGAGCTTGGCTGGAGAAATCCCTCTTCCCTTTGGGCAGCTCTAGACTCCTGCCTATATTTCTTTGTCTAATTAGTGTTTTCTATTCAGTACCTTTTGTAAAGTATTTCTATACATATCTGTCAGCACACATCCATGCTGAATAAGCCTCAAATGCTTCTTTTATTGTGAAGTGGCAAACGTTACAGGTAGAAAACAGCATGCATTTTCCTATAGACCTTAAAATAATTTGGGTTGCTTACCCTCTTCCGCTTTGGTACTTTGTGTCAGAGCATGACAATTATATCAGCTATACCTCCTTTTTTAGGTGGTGTATCTGCTTTTGAAAACTTTCGCTCTTAATTTCAATAGATGTCTTTTTTTAAAGCCTTCTTTGAAATTAAATTCAACGCAGAATGGACCTGAGGCCGCTAAGGCTGTAATTTGTTTTGCAAAAACAAATGGTTTGTAACAAGTGTTGTAACATTTCAGCAGCCTTGACAGTGCTGTGCATCATCTGTTTGCAGTAGTGCAAGTACTTATGTTGTGAATCTTTGGGAGCGTTAGAATACAGGGATGCTTTAGCAGCCTGAGGAGGCTATCTTTATAATCTACAGCTGTTAATATGAAAATGGAGCAAACTTATTCAAAAACAATACTTTTTTTTTTCCATTAAAATATCTACAGCATTCCTTTTGGTAGTGTTGTTTATTTAGTGCAATTGTTGGTCGAACCCTTAATGGGCATGGATTCTATTAGCAGTCTAATGATCGTGACTTTTCTATCCTGCAGAGCTCCAATTGTGGCTTCATAGGAGAAGTGTCATTGCAGTTGAAATGCTGGTTAGGAGTCCTTCTCCTTGCTATGTCTTTTGAAGTCAGTATAGCATGACTATAACTGACAGCTCCTTCAATAAACAGCTTTGCAGACCTTTTATATTTGAGATGCTGTCAAAGGAGCAGCTAGCAAGTCATTGGAATGTTAGAAATTGGTTAATTTGAGTAAAATACTTTTTGATCAAAATACTGTTTTGTTTTATTTCTCTAGCCAAGCTGCTGGAGAAGTGTTCCTGGGAAGTAGTCCGCAGTTAACAATTCTTTACAGAAACATCCATATCTCCTTGGGAAGTAGTGCAGATGGGTGAAGATATTCTCCTTTTTCCAAATGCTTTCAGGGCCCTGAACATCCCTGTTGGATTGTAATTTTGATGGTCTGCCTCTGGGTGCCTGGTGAGCTCTCGTGATACAGTGGGAGAAGAGCCAGATAGAAGCTTTATTTTTTCATTAGTGTAGGGTTTTTCAAATTTATGGTTCATGCTACCACACTGCAGTATTTTTACTCGTTCACACATTAAGAGTTCTGGACTGCTATCCCGAAGTGTAACAACGTAATAAAAAAGGAAGAGGGAGGCAGTAAATGTTTTCAAAAGAATGTTTTTAATTTGTGCTTTATAATGAAGAGAGACTAGTTCTTGTTCTGAAAGTCAAAATTTCCTGTGGCTTTCAGGGATCAGACCAAATGAGAGCTGTCCAGCTCTCCTATCTGTAAGAGAACTGGATATGCCAAAGCTCTTTGTTCCTTTAACAATCTCCTGTGTGGTGTACCGAATTATAATCTTTTTTCTTTGAAAAAGAAACACAATAATATTATAGGATTCCGAATGTTCTGGGGACAGAACTTACCAGTAATAGACTGGAGACTGATGCCACCTTCTCCTTATTGCCAATGTGGAAGTTTGTCTTGTATACAACTTCCTGGATTTTAGATGTATGCCCTTTTTTAACTTGGAGGTTTTACTTTCTCATTTTGCACTTTTTCCATACAATTAGCATAGTGGTAAAAATCTTTGTTTTCCTGAAGAGAATAATTTCCCTAGATGATTGCAGTAGAAGGCTTTGAAGATCTTTCTGAAGGATTTCTGGATCATATATCTGGTAACTTTTCCAGAGTATGACAAGTAGCATTTCACGCTCTTTTTAAAGAGTTTCCTTGTATGTTTTATTGAAAAATGAGTGAATATAAATATGGGCACAGTTTTAGTAGTCTCACAGTTGCATCCGAGCAGCTACTGTGGTTAGCGTCGTAGTTCAGAAATAAACCTTTTAATCCATTGTACAAGAGAGAATTGATGGTTACCAAATCATTAGATGCCCAAATAAACTCACTAAGCATGTTTCCTACTAACAAGAGGATTAGATTGTATTGTCAGGAGGCCTATTATATTAAGGGCACCATTTGGTATACTCTTAATTCATGATGTGGTTGTGTCTCAGGTGCAGGTAAATTTGATAAATGCTTTATCTGTGGTTTCAAGATTCTACAGGCAATGCAATTGCATTATATATATGCTCTGTTGTTGTTGAAGGGTTTAATTATGTGATTATTGAATATTAGATTATAATTATATTGAGCCTTTTTTTAAACATATGATACATTATATGCTCCTTACCACTTACTTGATTTAGTGAGTATTTTTAAAAAAGGGAGAATTAGAATCCTCTTTGGTCTTTCTGTTCATAAGAATTTAATTTATTACTTATTTATAGGTTCCCTTAAAATAGGGTGAAAACCTGTGGACTTGGTCTAAGACCTGTGCTTTTTACAGCTCCCTTATTGGGAGCTTTGGCTGGTGCAGTGATCGCTTTTTGTGATGCGTTTTGATGAGTTTGTCAGCTGTTGTCTTGTCTTGGGTCCCACAACCAATGGAGTTATCTTCTCTTTAAGCTTATACTACTTAGTCAGTGCTTCTACATTACAGCTTTATTATAAATCCAATCCGTCGGGTGCTCTGCTTTTCCTGTATCTGTCTGATTCCTTCTATGTAAGGTATTAAGTCAGGCTGTCTGAACTGGCGTTGTCTTATGCTGAAGATAAACCAATGGCAAACCTGTCTGAATGAGCAGTTCGGTTACTAATTCTGCATTCGATATGAGTATGGTTATGATGCATCTACCTGAATTTCAAAAGTATTGCTTCTATATATATACATCACTAAGTGGAACATGCAGCAATGCTGTAATTCATACTGATGTAAACAATCGTTGTTCTTATGAATCAAATATAACATGGAGACCTTCAGGAACTCAGCTTTAATCTAAAGTTGCCGTTTCAGTACTTTTTTTAAGAGCATATTCAAACCAGATTACTGTGTCATTTGAAATATTGCTTATAAATATTGTGTATTTTTGCCCTATACTTCATAGTGGATTGTAAGACAGTACAAAGAAGTCTTTCTGGAGTTAATGTCCTCATAAGGTATTAGCATTCAAGAAATGATACTGATATTGCACATCTTGGCTATACCTCTTTAGTAACTGATATGCTGTCAGTAGTTACTGTCTCGTACTGCTAAGGTCTTTTAAAAGAAATCTAGGGAAAAGGTGTCAAGGCTTATCCATAAGAGGAGCGTGATGTGGCTGAAGCTTTATTCCTTTCTAGACTCAGATAATCATTGATGTGTGTAGATGAGTTCAAAGGAAAGAGTCTTTGAGTCAGTGCAAAAATCGGGGTGGTTTGACAAAGTTAATTCTCTGCTGGATAAATTGTAAACTACTACTCGACCGCAAATTTCGTTCCCTCCCATGGTCCATACTGAGAATATGTGTTTGCAGTGTTTTCAGTTTGTTAGCATAGCGCATGCATTTTCATTAAATGTTCAAACTAGACTTTATTTCTTAAAAAATGAAAATACTTGGTGTATATGCAGAATAACTTTTTCATATTAATATGACTGTATTATGATAACTTTATTTGAACATCTGAAATGTTTGTCACACCCTGCTATGCGAACAGAAATGAAAAATATGTCTGTATTTAAACTAATTGGTATCTAGTAGTATCTTTGGTTACTTAAAAAGATATTCTGCTCACAAAATATCTGTACTCAGAATTTGACTAACGCTTGAGTCTGAAGGGCATTTCTTACGGCTGAGTTATAACCAACTTATGAAAAGCATAGTGTAATTGCTAACTGTTAATAATGTGAATAATTCAGTTGGTAAATTTTATAATACATTAGTGAGCACATAAGTTGCTGATTGACATACTTTACGCTTAATTATTTTTTCTTTCTTCTAGTTTCTTTGCTTGAAGAATATAAGAACTTTTTTGTCGGCATGTTGTGAAATATTTGGGATGAAGAAAAGTGAACTTTTTGAAGCATTTGATTTGTTTGATGTGAGAGATTTTGGAAAGGTAAGGATCCTCTTAATTATATCCTGAGTAACACGTGTGTTCTGCTGCTTGAGGATAGAAGACGTTCATCGTAGATGTGGTGTAGGTTATGCCTAATGGATGAGTGCTTTTCCTTTTTTTGTTTAATGAAGAAGAATTAAGGGAAATGAGTTGGATTGAAATTGAAGGGCCTAGTGAAGGAGAGAGAAAAATCCCTGGTAGAGTTTTGAAGGTGTGAAAATGAAAGAAGGATAGATGAATTAAATACTGGATTGAAAGGCGATTAGTTAAAGATACATGAAATGTATGAAGATGGCAAAATGGAGGTGAGTACTATCTGGGTAAGTCTTTTGATACAGAGAAATGGTGTGGAAAAAGCAATGCTGGACCTCTTCATTGTAAAACTGCATGGCACATAACACGTTTCATTTGTCTCAGGGACTCTAAAATTCATCCACTCATCTATCCTTGTTGTTTGTTTTGTTTTTGTTTTTTAGCAAGTTAGTTTTTAAATCCCTTGGTGGTTCTGACCTGCTTTAAAGCTCAGACACTGCCGTGGTTGGTTAATGAGACTGTTCTAATTTACAAAGTCTAAAATACATTCTTCTGTAAACCTATGATTAATTACTCTATGTAAAAGCTTTTTCCAATGTGGTGTTTGCAACCTCCTACATACTTGTTTGATCTGTCACTGCAAGCATATGTTCAGTTCAACTTCATTTTCTGTTTTTGAGTCATAGGGTGTCACTACCCTAATCTCACAGAAAAGGGCCTAAAAATTGCCTAAAGACCAGTAATGTCAAAAACATTCTATGTTTGAATAAATGACTGTTTTGAGTATTATTTTCCTTTTAAGGGAAAGTATTAGTACTTTCACTAGCTAATTTTTGTGCTACTCTTTATAAGTAGATGTGGAGGCCAAAATGATGTAAGAGTGCAAGCCTGAATCAGGGCTGGAGTATGGGTGTTTGAAACGACTTACTGAATTCTGTTAACCAAAATTGTTAACTAAATCTTTTGCTTATAAAGATAGCTAGACCTGGTAATTCCACTTGACACTTATTAATGCTGAACATCTTATGTCCTTTTAAATCATAGTTAAGAAAATGTTTTATTAAAATGCATTCTCTCTTTATTGCAATTTTGCTATAATGCTTATCAAAATGTGTTAGGTTTGTTTTGCTTTTGATTGTGCAAGCAGCAGAAGTTAAAATTCTTTTGATAAAGAAAAGGTACTAGCGGTGTCCTTTCTGAAGTATTCAGTAAATCGGATATCAACATTTGCATCAAATCTTCGATACTTATGCCTAATGCACAGAAATCTTTTAGTATTGTGGTTTCTAATTAATTGCTGGGACTTCCTCTGCTTCCTGTTTAATGGCACTTGAATGTAAAAGACCTAATTTTTAATAGTCTAGTTCTGAAGAAATATTTTTGCAATGCAAGCTATTATTGCTGCCTAATGGAATCCTTAGGGGAAAGGTTCTGAATTAGGGCTGAATTTAGCCCGACATGTATGTTTCTGACACTTTTTAAATTGTCATTTGAAACAAATTTATTTTAGAACACAATTTTATGTAAATAATATAAAACATTGGTAGAAATACTATGTCTTCTGTCAAGATGTTTATCGTTTTATTGCTCTTTCCTAAATAAAATTCGATCTAAAGACACACAGTTCTTACCGTGCGTGTTGCCACAGTATAGCTCGCGTAGACTTAGTATCCCTGGGACTTGTTATTTCAGCATTAGTGATGGCTGTAGTGGTTGCATATAAGCAATGGTTTCTATGGTCTTGGCCTATTTCACTATCAGGCTTTGGTTTTTGTCACCTTTCTTGGAAAGCTACCTGGTAAAAAGGCAGTGACAAATCTGCAAGACACTGGTGTGTGGGAGTGTTTAATGAGACCAGCTTTGTGCACAGTAACAGCTGGCTGTGCAGAGCCTGGGATGCTAAACTGAGCAAGCCGTGCACTCCTTGCAGTAGCTGTGCTGAGCACACTTGTGAGTGCATAGTCGCTGTGCTGTTTGGCTGCTTCCATTGCATGCATGTGTGACCTCAAGTGGAGGTTGCCGTATGCTGCCTGTCGATAGGCTGACATGCGTTTTTAGCAGAGTCTGCAAATGCTGGGCATATAGTTGGCTTCCTAAAAGAGTTGCTGAACTTGAGACCGTTCAGAAAGCAGAGGGAAAAATCGCATACTGTACAGTGTCTAGGTTATAAAATGTACAGCTAGCATGCCAGGTTATTTCTGTGGTTTAACAATGTCGTGTTTGTGTCTGAGATGATTTGTAAAGCTTCATGGGATTCCAATTCCAAATCTAATACAGCACGTGTTACTCTGGAAATGCTGACTATTAGTAGCTGTGGAGGGAATAAGAAAGCTTATCTTTTTTTTTTCCATGGTTTTTTTGTTTCTCCTGCTCAACTTTCCCCTTAATTGTTTCTTTTTTCCTATGAATAACGCCTTGAATGAATTTACCAGCCTTCACTCTTGTGGAATCCTTCTTGAATTGGAGTTGTGCGTATGCAAAAGGCTGAAAACCCAGCGCTTCAGACACTTATGCTACTGTAACCAAGGCGTTCTGCTGTTTCCAAAATTAATTCTTTGAATTATTCTCCCTAAATATGTACAAAACTTGAATTATGTTAAAGCAAACAAAAAGGATAATATCCTTGGTGATTTTACTCAGGTTTAGAAACCAGGCTCACAAACACGTATGTTTTCCAGAGTGTTGACCAAGTGAGCAATGGAATGAATTTGTGCATTTTCCACAGCCTCTGAACTTTCCTGGTGTACCAGGAGCCTTACAATGGCTCTTTGAGATTTCAGGAATTGGCAAGCACTTGTTAGTGGGGAGATGTGAATAAACTGTGGCTGAAGTGACCCCGTAAGCCTTGTGTATCCAGTACTTTACATTTGCATTTATTTCAGGTACCTTATCACAACCACCAAGAAAGAGAGAGGCTCAACCATTTTTAAGCTTCAGTTGAAATGATAAAATATTGATAATTGAACTTGTAATCTTAAGATAGAATATTTTGCTTTAAATGACATTTTCATGACTATTTAAGCACACTAATGGAGGAAAGGGGAGAAACATGTCAAACATAAATGAACAATATGCTTTCAAGGGGAAATAGAAGGAAGAAACAGATGGGGAGACCTGGTGGTGGAAACTCCAAATTTTTGAAATATTCCAATTTTTTTCAATATTTTAAGATAATGGCAGTGAAACTTTGCCTATGGCAGTAGTAGCTGTACATTCCCTCTATAGTCATAGACCTTTTAAGTCTTGTGAAGCATTTGTTACAAAATGTTTGATGTAATGGTGAAACTGGTGTTTAATAGCTAGGGGTAAATGAACTGTATTTTCAGATATTTTGACATGGCATATGAACATTTGACTTGAACTTTGTGCTCTACTTTGTAGACACTCTTTGATCTCTTAGTGATTAGAGTAAAAGAAGGGTGCATGCAGTATGGATGGAAATAAGAGGTGAAGCTGATCTAGCAAGGTGTTAGGGAGTGAGAGAGAGGATAAGTAAATGGGATGTAGACAACCCATAAGTATGTTTTCAATGCATGAATACCATATGCATCTGGATATCAGCTGTTATAGGAGAGGGGGTTTCTTATTTTCAGATATGATGGCACAGATTTTCTCTTTATTTTTTAAGCTGTCTGTGCTGGGAAAAAAAGAGGATATATTATGCTGAAGTCAGAAGGTTCTTGAAGGATATTTTCTAAAAATGAAGAAAAAAAATTTTCTTGTTCTGCAGTATTTATCTGTTTCAACTCGGTTACCTTTCTTTCAGCAAATTTCATTGCTGTTGTGTTAAGTTCCTGATGGAGCATGAAATGCCTTCCCACGCACGCAGAGGTGCCAGACAGTGTTTTCATTCTGAATTCCACTGCGGAGAGTCATTTTTTTGCTAGCACAAGGCTGTCGGGTTCTTCCTTTTCACCTGTGTGCCAGAATCAACACGCACTGTCGGTACTTGTTCTTTCAGCTCTGCACGTTCCTTTAGCAGCAATCTCCTTTGCTGTTTGGGGTGCCCCAACAAATTGTTGCTATCACTGTCCTCTGAAGGAAGTTTCAAAGGAATGTATTACAGAAATGGGAGTCTGGGGATTAGTTCCAGCACCTCGTTATGTCAATAGACCCTCACTGGCCTCAGAGCAATGTTTGAGGTGCTGTGAGGAAAAATAGCATCCCTATATTGCCAGAAATGGACTTTTGTTTACTCTGTTTTTAAATATTAATGTATGACTGAGCACAGGGCTGTTTTTCATGACATTACTGATGTAATATGAGCATAACTTAATTTTTTTAATCTGTTGAGTCTTGTCAGTAAAGTGTAAATACAGTTATTTTCAACACGGATTGAAAGATTTCTAGACGCTTGCAGTAGGTGTCTAGAAAAGATACACAACATTTAATCATGATTAAAAAGGGGATCTGAGATCAACTGGTCCAACTAAAAAAATACCTAATTGTTAAAAAGCATGTATAACAGGCATGTAATGTAGTATCTAGTGTAGCCAATATTCCAATGATGCTTAAAAGCATTGTTTATGCAAAAGCAAGACACTGCTGTGAAAATATTGAATGCGTATCCTAAGGTCGTGTAGTATGTGATCATCTTCATCACTCTGTCAGTGCAAAGGAAATCCGGACTATGATACAACAGAAAGTCATGTTGAAGCTGGAGATCCTGCTGTGCTGGAATTCCCACAGGGATATGTTTAGCAGAGTCCAAGAACATCAGGCAGATGCGCATAAGATTGACACATCAAATCAACACAACTAAGAACAGCAGTTATCATTAAAAATGTTGTATACCTCTCCAGAAAGAGAGAGGAGAAAAATTATATAGAAAATCTTCATTCAAACAGAGAGATTTGAGATTAACTTCACTTGTACCTTGCTGTTTAAATTCACCAAATAAAACAGGATACTAGAGCAGAATTTGAGCAGTTTAACTAATGAAGACATATTAGAACTGCAGAACCTTG